GATCTTCAGGTCTTTTAGAGAGCTTATATTTTCTTTTCCCTCGCTTTCCACTGACAAATGATATCTTTTGAGAATCACCTTGGAATTTGTCTACTAAAGTTCAGTTTACTTTTTTCCGGGACATGTTTTATTAATATTCGTTTTAATGTGTTATAAAAAATATCAAAAGCATTGTCTGTCAGATATTGATGATAAAGAAGACCAGTCAGTTAGAGATAACTCTAAATATTGATCGTGAAAATTAGCTTTTTCATAATTTTTCTTCATTTTTCGAGTTACTTAGGGGAAAACCCTTTACGTTTAAATTTTCATAGGAAACTTGGCGCCTTTTTTTTTGTTTGCTATATTGATATAAAGTAAAATAAGGTTCCAGTCATTTTAATTGGTTTAGTTGTTAGTAGCACGCTTATCACTTGTTTATTTAAGTGACTTCTTGTTGTATTTTTTATATACTTTTGAAATGTTGTTCGCGCTCTACATATGATGGATTTAAATGTTGAGCTGATAATATTCAGCAATATTTATAACTCTTTGGAACCCCCCTGTATCGTTTAGGTCTGAACTAAAATGCCTCTGAAAAATGAAATAAGCATCAAATTCCCATGTGTATGTTTCATAATTAAATTATCTCCAACGACGTGGATGTAAAATGTAATTTTATGTAATATAGTTATATTACTAATTTTTTAATTATAAAATTATTTACAGTGCGCTATCTCTTTGCCAAATAAACTATTAAAAAAATTGCCGCGCACCTGACCTCTGTTAGAAATGAGGTGGCTACTCCGCCTGCAGGGACACAGTTGGGCACACAGCCAACTACATGAAAGGGAACATGAAATGAGGCTGAGGGTAAATTTAAAAGGCTGATGTCTCCTCGGGGAGCACCTTATTCACATTCGAAAAAGCACAGGATTAGGGAATTATTCAGCTTCATAGTTGCCAGCACGAATATTTTCAATAAACGTTGGGTTTCGGTTCGTTTATAGAAATATATGTAAAACGAGCGAGATTGTGCATTGCGCTGATGAAAATAAAGATTAATTCCAGAAGAAAAATACATTATATGCACTTTGAACTGCATCATTACGTATGTGAATTTTAAACAAACGGTTCGTTTAAACTGAGGCATGTCTCATTTTATGACATAATTAATTATACCAGCTTCGTATTAAAACCAAGAATTTTAAAGACTATTCTGAAATAGTTATATTAAAGGATAATTTAAATGCACCCAAATTACATACCGGGTGACAACGAGATTAGTCCCGTTCCAATTTCTCGGTTGATTTTAGGAATACAACTTTGAAATGTTGGCATATCATTTGTGACGCAATAAGCCACATTTTGCACTTATTAAGTGAAAAATATAACTTCCGGTCCATCCAGAAGTAGCAACAACTATTGATTTTTAAATAGCAATCTATACATATTTTTGCATATTTAGATTTCACATAAAATTGTCATTACAAAGATGTATCACAAGTAGGTAATTGTTTTCAAAATGGCATCATAAATTCGAAAAAAGTCAAAAAGTTAAGTTGGCAACTGCAAGACTGGGTTTTCAAAAAATTTACCCAGTAGGCCTTGAATCTGATGTATCAACTTCATTTTTATCGTCGCATTTCAATAAAAGTTTATTTCGGGCAAAAATTACTATTTTGAATTTGAAAAACCATTTTTTGAAAAAACGTAAAAACAAATGGATTTTATTCAATTTTTTTAAATGGTAACCATATTTTTTTACTTGCACCAACAAAGCCCAAACCATTATTCTTTCATTTGATGTATAATATGTCTAGTTTCGGTAGTAACATACTTTGAAATTATTGGATTTCAGTAGGTGCTACATTTACCAATTGGTATTGTTAAAAAAATATACACACATATAAAATTGACAGAATTTATTAATAATTATTTATAAGATGGGGGAAAACAAAATTATAGCAATTGTTTAAAATGCATTCCTTCAACTTCAGTACATTTTTGAGCCCTACTGATGGTTAACCTTACCACCCGTTTTGCGCAATTATTGTTACAAAAGCTTGGCGACTTTTGATTTACAACTCCTAGAGGTTCCTTCAAGATGATGAATATATTCGTTCTTTGACTTATCCCCACAGGAAAAAATCCATAGGGGTTAGGTCAGGTAAACTGGCAGGCCATCTTGTGGGCCATATGTCGAAATGACCCTATTTTGAAATCTGTTTTCTAAATAATTAGAGACATATCGAAGGTTATGTGGCGGAGCCCATATTGTTGGTAATAAATGCTTTTTCTCAAATTCAAGGGTAATTCTCCTAAAAAGCCCTCAATTTCATTTTCCAAAAAGTTACCTAATTGCATTTAAAGTTCCGTGAAATAAAATAGGACCTATGATCCTCACAATTCCCTCCCATACATTTACCCCAAACACCTCCTGGTGTTTGGGGTAAATCTAAATTCATGTAAATTTTCCAGTAACGCAAATTATTTCGTATAAACACGCCACTGTTAGTAAACCGACTTTCATCTGTGAACAGGATTCTGGAAACAATATTTCTATTTTCTAGTAACCAATTGCAATAATGAACTCCCCTATCTGCATCAGGTTCATATAAGTGTTGATGAAGTTGATATTTATATCCATGTTTCCTCAATATTTTTCTAACAGATTATCTGCTAATATCAAGAGCACTTTCGTTTCACGTGTATTTTCGTTTTTATTAATTTCCACGGATGCAAAAAGATTAATCTCTGTAGCCTCGTCAATAACAAATGCATTTTCTTCAGGAAGTCTCGAAACGCTTAGCAAATTTCCAACAATGTGTTGTACTCATCAAAATATGAGAAAGGTTCGTATAAACATATATTCTTGAGATACAGGTTTTCGCGATACAGGGTGTGGATTGTGACACTCAACACAAGAAAGATTTTATTTCCCTAAAAAATTGTTGAGTGGACCACTGTGACATGGAGTGGGATAGAATTACAGATATTTGTTTTCACAAACACACGTAACTATGTAGAAACAAGAATGGAATCGGGCAATTGTATTGGCAAAATTGTGATTATTTTTAAAGCAATTCAATACTACTGGAACCGGTCAGAAAATCACAAGGATTCCGAGTAATCGTTTTACTTGGTGCCGTAGAACAATCACTCAGACGTACATTACGAGGGATTGTTATTATATTCTCGGACTGAGTAGCTTTACATTTTGATACAATTTTCCATCAAGTTTTTTTTAATCAATGTAATTGTATGTAATTGTATGTTAATTTACAGAACAATAATTACAACATTATTAATTTCAATAACTGTCAGTTTGTGTTGTCGCGTATTGTTAATTTCTCAACATGAATAAAATCGAGAATCATTGGAGGACGATCCCCGTCCAGGTCGCCCTGTTGATGTTATCACTTCAGATATTGAAAAAACCAAGAGTCTGGTACTGGATGATGCAAGGCTTGAAGAAGCGGCAATTAGCAGCTTTAAGTATTAGAAATTCCAGAAACCACAGTTTTTAGAATTCCACATGACTACCTTGGAAATACATAGGTTAGTGAAAGATGAGTTCCGTGAATATTTTCGCAATACCAAATGCGTGTCCGAGTAGGGACGTGTGAATAATTCTTTGTGCTTTATGGAGACGAACCAGATTTAATTATCAATCGACTTGTCACTGGACATGAAACGTGGGTTCATTATTATGAACCTGAATCGAAAGAGTCGATGCAGTGGTATGTCAAGGGTTCCAGCCCTCTCAAGAAGTGTAAGGTCACCCCTTCTGCAGGAAAAAATATTGGCAACCATTTTTTGTGACTGTCAGGGAATTTCGTATATTGATTACCTAAAGAAGGGTAGTACAGTAATTGGAAAGTATTATTCAAGCTTAATGCATCAGAGAGAGATTCTATTAAATTAAAAAAATGCAGAATATTGACGCGAGGTGTTTTGCTGCTCCACGACAATGCAACCGTACACAACTCAAGACTTGCAAAAGCTGCTGTTGCTGATGGTGGCTTCGAAGAAGATCCGCCTTATAGTCCAGATTTAGCACTCAGTGACAATTTTTGTTTCCGAATTTCAAAAAAAAACACCTAGGGAGACAAAATTCAAGAACAATGACATTAAGACACATTTAAGTTTAGCTTATTTTGAACACATCAGTTAAATATATTTGAGAGACATTTTGTAGAAAAGCGCAGTCCTTCGTATAAGGAAGAAAGGATTTCGAATATTTTAAGATCGTTAACATAGAGCAAACAACAAGAGTCCGTATCGTTTACTATATCATTAATAAATATGTTAAACAACAAGTGTTCGAGAATGAATCCTTGAGGAACACCCGATGTTGTGGTATATTCGTCCGACCTGAATCCGCTGTAGGCCACATATTGCTTTCTATTGGCAATATTCTATTTCTATTAGAAATATAGAAATAAAAGAATGATAGTAGAAGAGGTAAAAAACCCATATTTGACAATTTATTTAACAGTATAGTGTGATCGATCAAATCTGTCGAAAACCTTTGAGAAGTTGTATACATTAGTCGATTTTTCCAGAGATATAGTGGGTTATGCGAATTAAATTAAATGTTGTGTATGATTTTAAAAATATATATAGGCCTAAAGTTGGTAATATCATCTTAATCGCCTTTTTTAAAAGCTGGGTATATTTAATGCATAAATTAAATAATGCCGTGAACGAATTTGCAAAACCACATTTCATTTGAAATGAAAGTTGAGAAACAAACAGAAGAAAAATTGAATAACGAAGGCTCAAATGGTTTCGACAGATGAACCGTATGGAAGAATACAGGTAGCCGAAGAAGATAAGGAAATGGCAACCATGAGAGCGGGGAAGGGCTAAATCTTGAGGGGAGTGAACAAAAGAAAAAAGTAGAAAAAATGTCTTTGTACTTATTTGAGGGTCATCTTCATATCTTTAAGTGAACTTAGAATTTTGTTCAAGGAGGGTATTTCTCTGTTGTAATATGAATGTCTTCATCATATAGGGGCATGGTGGCCGAGTGGTTAAAGCGCTTATAATTATTTACTCGGTGCCGAAGGACGATGGATCGATTCCATCCTGAGACAAGTTAGAAATATTGTTTATAATTTGTTTCGGACTAAGATTGGAGACGGAACTATCGATGCTCTAGGTGTGGTTCGAACTCCATAATAAACTGTAAGACCACGTCTCTCTTTCCTAACACAAAATGCTTGGATTTTCAGACAGTTACTTCGGTGACTTGAGAGGCGGGTATGAAAGCAATACAAAAAACAAACAAAACACTGATTTCACAACAAGAAACTGATTATAAGACGACAATATTTGGTAATTTTTTTCTAAAAATCAAAGCACACTAAATCCAGCTATTTATTCCAATAAAAATTGATAAACATATTCTCCACAGTTTTTCAAAAAATTAAATAGTAATATTCATCCTGCTTGAGGAACGCTAAATACTTGTATTTAATTAAAACTAAATTTATATCAACACGATAACTCTAGTTTACCAGATATCGACTGAATTTAATTGGGGCGCAGTTAAAATACACTAATTCAAGTTTGTTTGCGGCGTTGCGGGGCTAGTGTGGTTATTGCAAACAAACACCAGCGTTAATTGGATGAACGGGCACAGTTTTCCACTGTCTGATCCTGTTTCCGATTTCTGATGGTCCAAATTCGAAGCTTGGCTGCCGAGATGGCGGCCTTTAATGCAATTTACACTGCGGTTCCTATCAACTAATTCCCTCAACCGCTTTTTTCTTTTTGCTTATTATTTTTAACTCAGAGCTAAATTAGTTTCGTAACAAATACGTTTTCAATTATTCATCAATTCAATAAAATTTAATAGTTCATTTGTCGTACTCTGTCCATGCAATTTGATGTAGATATAAGGACTTTTGCGAAGATAAATATTACAGAGAGGATCACGAAACGATGAAAAATTTTGTATCGTTTCGTATAATAGCCTGTTTCCCCGTAAGGTGATACAATCCTCAGTTATAGAGAGCCCGTGACCATATTGTTAAAGGTATGATCCTCTTTTGTCTCATAATAGCATATACTTAGTTCAAACTAAACTGAAGTATGTTGCAAAATTGTATATACTTTTATATCCGTGAAAAGTATGTATATGAAATGAAGTATATACTATTTACGAACAAATTTCGTATTAGTAAATGACAAAAAAAAGGATGAATTCAAATGTATGTATGTACGTTTTTTATTTATTTTAAGTACATACAAAAGGTACAAGTTTTTATGACAAATAAATAATCTCGGCAAATGTTCGTGAGAACTCGTGATTCATGACACTTGTATTGCTTGTATCCACTTCACTGTATTTTCTATTACGTGTTATGTGAAAGTCTGTACGTTTTTGTTGATTATCGCTGTAGTATAACATTCTGTGGTGTAAATAATAATCTCTGTATTTAATACAAATATCGTAGAATAAAAACTGTGTCGTTACTGCAAGAAATGTAAGTGGAAGTGAGACTAAATTGTACTAGTGTGTATTTTATTTATGCTTCTCAACGAATAGATCGACTTCACAGATGATAGCTCTGTAAATTGTTCTATGAATGATCGGAATGGTAGGTGATTTGATTTTTGATTTGACATTTGACAGATTGCAACTCTCAACTGTTTCCCGGTTTTCAGATTTTCTGCTTTCAGTTCCAGACATTTTAACAAATAAAAGGTGAGTACATTACAAATGTTTTCTTGAGGTTCAGAGATCTAGCGAGAGTAAATCTAAAAGGCACGCTTTTTACTAAACATTGCTTGCGAAAGCCCCTGGGCGTCTAAAGAAAAAAGTAATTGCCATTTTTCTTATATTATCTATGATATTGTACTGTTTTGTGTAATTTTTTATATTTTTGTTAGTACACATCCACACACACACACGCACGCACGCATGCACCGACAGACATCATTCGGAAAATAGTCAGAATGGATTGAGGAGGGTCAAAATCTCAAGGTCGAAAAATATATTAGGTATAAGAAAGTAAAAATAAAACATTTTTGCAAAAGTACATTATCATCTGATATCTCTGAGGACAAGGTAAGGAAGTGATTTACATACTTAGAGACTTGGAATCATTTTTCAAAATTAATTTTTTCGAGAGGCTAGGTTTGTTAAGATAAATTCTCGAACCTCAGTTTTATATTAGAAAATGTACTTGTTTTAAAATTAAAGCTTCACTTGACTTAAAATTCATTTATTCAACAAAAATTGGTTAGTTCTAAGTTTCCCGGGTGTTTACTAGGCTGCCATAAAAGTTTCAGAACTTATTGAAATTTTTTTGAGTTTTAAGGATCCACAGCCAAAATTTTTACAAAAAAAATAAATTTCATCTAAATAATTTTGTTAGTCCACCAGGACATAGAAAATGCTTGCTGTCTAGTCTGCTGAATTTCTACATTTTCAAGAAATTTTAATAATGTGTTTTGTGAATTTTACGTTCATCTAAAGGACTCCCTGTCCAATTTTATTTTTGGTCTTATCGACTTAGTCAACTAAATTTTACACTTTCACAAATCACCTGATCGATAATAAAATTCAATTATGTAAGGAACCCTCTGTTCAAACTACATTTTGGCCTTCAGCGACTTTGAGAAAATAAATTTCATAGTTCTAAAAGCATTCGCAGGGAAGTAAAAAGACATTTTTGCACAGACCCCCCTGTTAAATTTTTTTTTTTTATTAAAACTGATTAAAAAAATATTTTCAGTATTCTTTAAGGTCATGTTCAGGCTAGAAAGAAGCCAAATTGCCCGGGGGACCCCCCTGCACATTTTTTAAGCCCTAGTAAATAAATAAAAAGCATAAGCCGCTTGATTAAATCCTTCAGCTACAAAGTCTGAGGTAGAAACAGGTCCCTCAAGCCAGGACCACCGAAGAGGAGTTGCTGAAGTCTTGCTCAGCGCTGCTAACATAGCCAAAGGTACACAGAAAATTCAACTAGGCTAAGAACAGGTTGCCTTACCTCTCCGTTTAATCAAAATCGACCTTGAGAAAATTACGTTCCTACGATCAAATACCACGGCAACAAAACTAAGATTATTTTCGTGGCAGCAAGTCACGTGGCGCCCAACTTAATTAAAAAGAGTAATAACCCAGCTAGGGAGAAATCAAAAAAACAGGTCTTCAAAACACAAACAAATCCTTGTCCTATTTGTGACAGAAACTCGGCGACCTCGACCCATCTGCTAGCAGTTTGCAATAAATAATTATTCTTAAATATAGTTATGAAAAAAAGTTCGTTATACATATACATTGTTGGTACGTATGATTGGATTATTGCCATAATTTCCACAATGGTTAATAATTATTCGAATAACTATATCTAAGGGTCAAATAACTATGACTTTATATACATGATTGCAGTAAGCTTAACCACTTCAGTTAGGGCAGTCACACTACGCCATCCTCAGACCGGTTTCTGTGTATTAGCCGTCACCAGTACAGAAAGTGCAACCTAACCTAACCTTCATTTCTAGCAAAGTTGGTATTACAAAAATCAGCGCCCTGAAGCAAGAAGTTGTAAGGCTATTTAAAAAACTGAATATAAAACAGAAACTTAATTTTATTAGTCATTTTAAATAGGCACTGTTACACCGTTTTTTTACTCCTGATATAGATTCAATTAAAATATTTCCTACGAATTGCTGTCAGAATTTGTCATTGTCAGAAGCCAGTGTAACGTTTGACTATAGACCTATTCAAATTATGTTTATCAGATAATCAAACAACATTGATGCGATATAAACCCTCATCCGTGTTTTCTCATTTCTCACTTTCAGCTACTTTTTTAAACATTGACCCGTTTCACTGTGGCTGTGAGCTGGGGTATTATAAATTTTAATACCATGATCAGAATGGATTAACTCACCCGGTCTTGGATTAACGCTTAAGAAATTACTATTCTCTCAAATTAACGCTATTGTGGGTGAAACAGATTACGCCAAACCACCGGGCTAGTAATTCCGGCGTCCGTCGTGTTCAAGGCTGCCAACTTAAACACCTGTAGTAAAATCCCCGGTGCTGTCCGAGTGGATGCGATAAAGCGAGTTAATTATACACTAATTCAAGTAATAGTTTACTGCTGTGTACTACATGCATTATAATAATGCTCTGAATGCATGTAATAATACTTGTGTGTTTATGCAAAAAGAATTTACTAATAGTTGGAATCATATATCAAAATTTGTCGGTTTTTTTTAGATTTTAGTAGATTTTCATTACCATTTTATGTACATTTTTGAAAACCAGCTCCTTTGACGCTATATAAACTGAATGTAGTTCTTTAAGCGGTTCTTTATATCTTCGGCGAAGAATAAAAAAAAATTAGACATTCTCGTAATATCCTATGATCGTCTTTTCTTAAAGTAATTTGTGGAATATTCATAGAGAGGTATTTTATATTTTTCATATTATGTTTACAGAAACTTAGATTAAAGAAACAAGGTCATAGCCATATTAATAGATCTTTCTTAGGTTTTCGATCATGTAGACTATGATATTCTACTAAAAAATGTGGAATGTTATGGTCTGGACGATGTCATATACTTCTGAAGTCATCACCTATAAAGAGGAAATAATTTGTAGATTTTTTTTGGTGAAAAATCTGATGAACTAGACGTTGACATAGGTGTGCCTCAGGGCACTTTCATATGTCCACTATTATGTTTATTATATCTTCAATATAGATGGATACATTTCGACATTTTGTTGTCCGTCTACTGATGCTATCACTGTTGCATCAAATGGTGTCATTTACGTGACTGTACCTTACTATTTCCACTATTATACCATAGGATCTAATTATATTTAATCCTAGTTTGAAAAATGTAAAATCACCAAATTTCAGAGCTTAGACTATTAGGCATACACATAAATTTGACAGTTGATTGGCAAATTTATGTTGTCCTTTGCAAAAAAAATGTGTCAGTAATAATTGTTTTGCTATAGATATACTATCTAAAATTTGCAGTGGGAATGTTTTAAAAACGTTTTATTTTCCCAATTTTGAATCTCGATATGGAGCGATTTTCTGGGCCAGTATATCAACTTAATTCACAC